CCTAATACCTATATAGCTAGTTAATAGTAGATCCTAAGCGTTTTAATTTAAATTTAAGATATTTGATGATTTTAAAAATATTAAAGTTACGGATTGGTTTACCAAGGAAAGCATGCGGACAAGATTAATATGAAGAGATTTAACTGACTTATTAAAGTGTATAATTATTTTTAGTTGTGAAGGCATCCCCACATTTTTTAAAAAATTAGTTTTGATGTTAATAAATATAGGTTTCTACTATATAAGTACCTACTGTTATGCGTTTTATTAAAATTTCGATACCTACAATCTACATAATATATTTGTGTTTTTTATTATTTACCTATCATTGAAACGCAATTTTTTAAGTTCCTAGCAACATACCTAGCTACTTCAATACTTATTTAATGTTCTTAAATTTATGATCACCTATGATTTAAAACAATTAAAGTTACGGATTGGTTTACCAAAGAAGTTATGCGGAAAACATTTTTATGAGGTGATTATATTTCTCGTAGGCTTAGTAAAATGTTTTGAAAAAATACTGTTTATTTTTGTAAATTTACAATCACCTATGATTTTAAAAATATTGAAGTTACGGATTGGTTTACCAAAGAAAACATGCGGACAATATTAATATGAGGAGATAACTCTCTAAACCTTATTATTTGTTAGTTTTTTTTATATAAGTAGGTACATATAAGATTGTCTATGATTTTAATAATATTACGTTACGGATTGGTTCACCAAACAAAATATTTGAGGGTGAATATTATTAATATGAGGATGTTCGTAATAGTTTAAAATAATTGTTAAGAGGACGTGATAACCCGCATGTGTTGTCTCCGTCTTAAAAGTGCGTAACAAAGCAAATTATACGCAAAGCAGAACACGTGTAGCTCCGTTAGCTTAAAAATTGACCTCTTATAAAATCTAAAGGTAAGATTATAATCTAGACAACCTCATGGGCTTTTTATTATATTTTAATTCTAAAGCGAGCTATGAGTTTTAAAATTGTAAATTGTTTGTACATTTTAAAGTACTCGTAACTCGCTTAAAATTTAAAATATAATAAAAAGCTCATGAGGTTGTCTAGATAATATTCTTACCCTTAGATTTTATAAGAGGTCAATTCACTCTTAATTTTTAAGCTAACCGGAGTTGCACGTTTTCTGCTTTGCGTATAATTTGGTATGTTATGCACTTGTAAGACGAAGACAAAACATGCGGGTATCACGTCCTCTTAAGTTAAACATTCTTTAAAACTAATTTAAACTATATTTAACCATATTAATTATTTGTTGCTTTTTCCTGAATTTACAAACACCTATGATTTAAAAAAATATTAAAGTTACGGATTGATTTACCAAAGAAAACATGCGGACAATATTAATATGAGGAGATAATTCGTAAATCAGTGTTTGTGAAGTACCTAATACATATTTTATTTGGATAATATAAACCTATTAGGTATTTGTTAAGTATTTTTTATAATATTTAAGAACTATTATTTAAAAATATTGAAGTTACGGATTGGTTTACCAAAAATTTTTTACAACATTAATATGAGGATATACCAAACTATAGTTGCTAGTAGATAAAGAGACTTTGTAAAATGATTTATTGAATATTCAAAACCTTTTGAATACCCTACATAGATATTTAAAATTATTTAGGTCTTTCATGATTTTAAAATTGTGTAAGTTACGGATTGCTTCACTAAAAAGAACTCGTATGAGATTTTAAGGTGGATTTAGAATTACTTATTAATTATAATTTACCTATGTGTTTTAACCCATGGGATATAAAATATAAAAAAGTTGGAAATTAGTTTTAAAGTTTATAAAATTCAGATATTAGGTAGGATATCCTGTAATACTATATTATTAGAACTATACAATGTACGTATATAATACAATTATTATTTGTTCAATTCTTATACTTGTATTTAAAACTTCAATATTTAATGTAAATTATTAATTTCATTATTTTAATTCGAGTTTATTTAGTTATACACTTTAATGGTATATGTAATATTATTCAAGGTTAAATTACATTTAATAGTTTTATTTAAAAGTTGATATGTATGTATCGTCTGGTGTATCTAAATGTACCTATCTCAAAATGTTGAGATAAAAAAGGATATTAGAGTATTGCTTTAGGAAATAGTTTTATTTTATAAAACATTATTTTTGTTTCTGTTTATTACAAGAAGGATTACCATATTTAATTTTTTTTTAAATGAAGCCAGAAATAAATAAATTTGTCTTATTTAATTTATTCATTTGTATAGTCTTGTATTTTTGGTTTGCACTTTAAATTAACTTTGAACTTACTTAACGTACATAGGTCATAGATATAATTTAAAGAGTATTGTAATCAGAATAATTTACGTCAGTTATTTTGTACCTGTTTTTAGTTGTAGAATTAAACAATAATTAAATAAATGTTGTAACGTGGGTGGTAGGTACTAGTTAGAAACTATTTTTGTCGCATATTAGTAAATTGTTTAGGGATCTACTAGGGTAGTACTACTATGAACTATGAAGTACTTGTTTGTTAGTAAATATATATAGTCTTATTATACCTTCTATAATATCATAATGGTGGCTTTATTATTTAATTTTTTCATTAAACGTTTATTTGTGTTAATTTTTAAAGTCTTTTATTAGTTGTAGATGTGAAAATGCGTGATTTTGTTTTTGAATTTTATATTCATTATTATTTATGAGTTTGTTTTTTTAGTCTGCAACTGTCGATTATAATAATAATATTATATAGATAGGTACATAAGTATCTTTATCTAGTTAAACTCTTAAAACTAAAAATTTGGCCGTTTTTTTATTGATCTTTTTAAGCCCGGCGACTAAGGCCATTAGCTAATTTAATTAACTAACTAATTAACTAATTAAGTAATTAAATCGATTATTAATAATAATATAATACCTATGTTGTCAGTTTAAATATTATTTTGGGTGCGTCTCAAATCGACGTTTGTTGTATTACATATCGTATTTCCAATAGCTCATACGTTATTACTTATTACTTATTAGTTATTACTTATTAATGTAGTAAAAACATATTTATGCAGCTGCGTGGTGGCTGTGCCGTATATGCGGTATTGCGGATGCGGCGAAATTAAATAATAAACAGACGTTTCAGCTACCGAAACTTCCGCGATGATGTAATCGCGCGTTCGGTGCGACGACAGCCGGTTGCTGTGTTACCGCGCCAGCGACGCACCATAGACGACGCTCCTCATCGGAGGGTCGGGGTCGCGAGCGATTTAGGGTGCTCATCGCGTGCCGGTGTGTGGGGGAATGGCTTCGTATTTCTCTGTTTATTTCTGTTTCGTAGCTGGTAACACATTTCTCGTAACCGTGTACGAGTCTGTTGACGCATCGCGATATATTATTTTAATTTTATATTTTCGTTGTCTTTGGTTGTTACAAAACTTCGGAATACTGCCGGAGATGAGAATAAAAAAAAATCGTAAACTCGTATACGCAGTTACGCCACTCTCGCTAGCACCACAATATTATCGTAACTTGCGTTTCGTGTAGGAGTCTCTGTGCATGTTGTTGTCCTGCGCTTGCGCGCGCTATATACGTTCACGATTAAGTAGTTGATCGGCGGCGGAAACCTTGGTGCGGGCATTGTCCTCTATCATCAAGGTCACCTAGCTCTTCCAGAGCTCCCCGCCCAGGCCACTTCTGACCGTCAATTTCTCTGCTTCTACACGCCAGAAGGTACCCCTCGAACATGCGCCGCACTTATCACCGTCGTAACATGTGCGGCGGCGGCTGATCGTTCGTTTCGTGTTTAATTTGCTTTAGGGCTTGTTGGGCCGGCAGTCCCTGTGAGATTTTTTCCATGCATCGTGTCTGCGGCGACATCGTTTGTCGCAAAACCGGTTAGATCGTTATTTTATTGTACTTCAGTGGCACCGTTGTTTGGTTATTGTTGTTATTGATATCGAGGTTTGGTTGATTCGCGAATTGCCACCAATCATTACGTACTGACCAAAACTATCCAACGTCAGCCACCACCATTTCAAAGAAAATCTCGAAGAAAATTATTCCACTTTCCTTCTCGCAGTCGACAGAGCTGTTTTATATTTTATTAGTTTTCTGTTCTTATGACTGTTCTTTTTGGGATTGGGTTTCTGCCAGATACCGGGACCCGATAATACGTTTGTGGCTTACAATAATTGTTGTTATGTTCTATTACTATTTGAATCATCGTGTATTATAATTCAGGGATATCCAAGCTTTCATAAAGCGAGATGCATTTTGATATTGAAGGCCAAAATAGTTTTGGGGAAAGGTACTGGTAGAGACGTAATGATATTCAAAAGAGAGAAGAGAAGATTCATGATATTACAAAAAATAGTTAAATTTTTTTTTTTTGAACGACTGATTTTTGTCCAATACTTAGATGTATAATATATAGCCAGGATCTAGGAGTTGAGGATTAAAAAATCAGTCAGCTGGTCGGCATTGATGAAAAATATTGACAGGCTTTTGGAATTATTTGATAGTATGATTAATATAATATTGTACCTTTTCCAAATTACATTATGTAAATAAACTACTGCTCAAATGAATACTATTATAGGTGGTATTATTATACAATTTTATAAATAGGTATAATAGCAAATATCCAAAATAATTTGTTGTTGAAATGTTCACACTTTTATTACCTATAAATACGTAGGTACCTATTGTTTAAACATTTACAAGATTAAAGGATGAAAAAACTAGTCAGGATACAGAAACTAGATATGGGTACTCGTCACGTCTCCCTGGGTTATGGTTGGATATTAAATTAAAAAATATTGATAAACCACAAAAATAAATATACCATATTATTAAATAAAAACTTTCTTAGTATATATAATAGGTAATCGAAAATACTGTAGTTAATTTTTCTAATTATATTATGAATTTTACCATAGCTATAATATTTTATTATAGCATACTTTTAAAATAGATCTAAAGTCGATAAAAAATTGTTTATAGATTGCATCCTCAACCAAAAAGCTATGGGGAGTCGAAGAAGGCAAAGAAGATGGACCTAAAGGCATACTTAATTTAAATGATCATCATCACCAAATGTGGAGAGATTCCACTTGGAGTTCTAATAGTAAGTCTTCAATTTCTTAATAAATAATTGTTTATCCAACTTATTACCTACCTTAAATAAATCCTTGTTTTCTTGCCATCTAAAATGTTCTATGTCCATTGGTACTGGACTTAGGTATTAACATTTTACATTTCTTATGGGATTTTTCCAATATTAACTCTAATGTAATATTATTAGATATTTAAATTTAAATTCATAGCTTTCAAAAAAGTTTCCTTAGGGACAAATCGTCAATCCAAATCATACTTTTGATAGTTACCCATAAATAAGTAAATTAATGGTTGGATATGGGTATATTTATTGATTGGTTTTGATACAGAGTCAATAAGAGGGTAACTGATAATATTCCCAACAAATTTTTTATTGAAAATATTGGCTTAACATTAAATTACCATTTAAAGAGACAGTTTAAAATTATTTTGAAACATAGTGATCTTATTGTTAATTATATTATATAATGTGTACTTCTGTAAAAGTAAGTCACTGCATATATCTACCAATAACATTTACAATAGAATGCAACAATTTAGTTATTTTAATAGCGTAGATAATGTATTCAACATAAATCAAGTTCAATAGCATTACTTCATTACTTCACGTTGTTGTTACTGTGCACCACTGCAGTATACTAAAGTTATAAAAAAAACCAGTCTTCTTGTTAATAATTTTCTTTTTCACTATTACATCAAGAGTAGTGCAGTCAAATAACAGAACCGGTTTTATCTTTTATTAATATTTTTAGTTCTCAATGCATAATATTGTGTATCTGTATGGAGCAAAGAAATATTCTAATAGTTGTGTATTTTATATTTTTACATGTTGCCAGATGTATGTTTACAAATTAAGATAATAGCTTAAATGGATGGCTTATTGATTGTTGAATTGTTTTCACAACCTTAAATAAAAAAGTGTTAATTGACATTAATCTGTATACATGTATTAAAAATAATTACAAATTTAAATAAACTCAAAAATTTAAATTGATTTAAAATAAAAAAAAATTTCTATCACACATACCTAGCATTAGATTAAATCAGAACAAATTATGATGTAAAAAACAACTCTTATCCCCCAGTATCACAGAAAAATATATTTTAGTTATATCTCAGAACTAAATAATACATATTTTATGTTGAATTATTTTTTTTCATAGCAAGAAGAGGGGCTGGTTTTCCAGTTGGTAATGATTCTGGCAATATATTATCTCCAAGATCATCAGAAGCTGGAATTGGTATGAAGATGGTCGAATATGTTTTAGCCAGTACACCAAATAAAATGGAGCCCCTAGAACCTAGAATGAGAAATTTAGTTATTGTATGTATACTTAAATATAATACACTAATAATACTATGAGATATTAATGGCCGTTTATTTTTTTTTCAGAGTTCTAACGATGGTGAAACTATAAAGAAAGAAAAAGAAAAACCACCGGGTTCTCCCTACGATTCTGTAAATAGTAATAAAAAAGAAATGGAAAATGGTAATTGTTCAACTGTTCAACAAAATGGAATGGTGGTTGTGCAAAATGGCTTAGACGAAGATAAATATATCAAGTTAGTGTTGTTGGTTTATTTTGGCCAACTATATACTTAATAATTATGATAATTTGAAATTGTATATGATTCTGTTTATTATGTTATGTATTATTATTTATTTTTAATTAGTTTTTGGTAGTAATTTATATGTATATAATTAACAATGATTTGGATAAATTTTAATACAATTTATAAGGCCTTAGTTTTAATTTTTACATTTTTCGATTTTGCTTTGAAATTAGTTGTCTTACTTCTTTATATTTTGAACCTTTTATCAACATTTGTTATGAATAAATTATTACTGCTTTCTGTCCAGACAAATTTGGTTTATGTGATGAAGCTTTTAATACAATTCGATTGTTATCTATTTTTATAGTTCCAAATATATTTGTTTTTCTATCCACATCGGTAGTTTCGTATTTTACTTTAACTTAATATTAGTAATACACTGATACTAGATATTAAATACATTAAATAGCTTATTATATAATATAATACATATTTTTAATTAATATCCTACCAGAAATATATTATAATTTTTACATATTGTATAATGTATATAATATGTAATCAGCTAATTTTCTATAATTATTGTAACTATATATTGATATTCTAATGGTGGGTTTCCACTACATAAGTGTATGTGTACATGCCTAAAAATACTTTTCTGTGATTGGTTGGTATACATGGTAAGCTTTTGGTATACCAGAGTGTTATATGTTCTTACCACAGGCTTAACCATGATACCATGAAGTTGGATCCATTCATAGATAATAAATACATGGATAGGACGCCTCAAATTCTTTACGTATTAGTTTTGCGGTCCAACATAGATAAGAAATTGAGGCGATTTGTTTACATTTTTTAACACAGTCGATACTCGATATAGATATACTTTATTTGGCCTCAATTATTCCCCTGGAAGACCGCTGATAAGACCATTATGTCCTATCCATATCTTTATTATCTATGGATCCATTTCAACTTTTCACGTGTACACGGGTCTATATTTATAACATAAAGACAGGTTTCCACTTTACACGTACGCTTGTACGTGCGTACAAATCCTTTGCTGTGATTGGTTGGTTAGGTTAAGTTACCACACGATTAACCACGATACCGTGTTGTTGGACATAGCTGAACATTTTTCGTGTACACGACAAACGTGTATAGTGGAAACCCGCCTTAAGAATATATGAGGTAACTAATATATTACCAATCCTAACCGATAGGAAACGTTTGTATGACCGTTCATTCAGTCAATATATACATATACACGTATGTAGTGGAAACCCACCTTCAAGTTTTAATTTATTGTGTTCAGTATATACTAAGTATAGATTAATTTTTAGCAATTTGTTTAATACTTCAATGTTTACAACATTTATTACTTAAGTACCTATTCATAATTTAAAATCATCTAATAGTTAGGTTTTAAAACTATATAATATGAATCAAAATTAAGGCATGTTTATTCATAAAAATAAGAATTTTCATGATACAGTTGAAAAATTTGATAATTATATTATTAAAATAATGAGCTGAACAATTAATTAATCCAATTCTTATGAAGTCCATTTAAATGGTTAATATCTATGTTTATTAAATATTAAATTCAAGATTTGTAATTCTGGTTTGTTCTCATATTCGATGTATGGTGTCATAGTCTTAGTCTGTAATTTTAGGTTATATAAGTAAATCATCATTCATGCTTAGTGTGATATGACTTGTTGGTATAAGTAAAAAGTAGTATATTACACATTGTGCCCATGATATGTATCAGTACTCTTGTGCACATCCACATAAGAGTGGATGTGATATTGTACTTCAAAACACTTTTGAATAGAAAAATTCTTCAGCTGTGACAGAATTGAAAATTTGGCTTGTTTGACTTTAATTCTTCAGAAACTAAAAACCTTAAGATTGCTTGCCGTATTTTATTGAACTTTTGCGCCATTTTTTAAAATATGAATTTCTGCCTTGGATATACTCAAGTAAACATCTTTAAAATCTTGAAATTTATTTCATAACACCAAGTCATAAATTCATGATTTAATAAACACTTAGATTTAATTTTAAAAAATATGGTAAAGGATCTTAAGGTTTTTACATAACTAAAACAGCATCAGCTAAGTCTCAAAGAATTATGTCACAGGAGGTCGAAAATCGATATATTTTTCACCAAACAAAATTTTTGTAACCACATTCTAATAAAATGTTTTAAATATTCAAATTTTATAAAGTATTTTTAAAATATTAAATTATTTAATGAATTTACAAGTTTTATTACACAAAATCTAATTAAATTATTATGGTTATTATATTGGTTTATTTAAAAAATGAATCATGTTGCTATTCTTACCTCTAAGAAAATTCACATAGAACATTTTAATTATAGGAACATATCATCTTATTTAGTAAATAATTTTAATCTTAATATTTGTATAAGTAGGCGATATAATGTAATTATAAATTGTTTATGATTAGCAGTTAATTAATTTTCTCAATATTTTTTATGTATTTTTTTTTAATATTGTTAAAATTATAAAAATATTTATTTTTAAGTTATTTAATTATAATATTTAATTGTATGATTTATAATTTTCTTTTCATACATGAAAATTTTAAATTTACGCTCCCAATTAATGGTTTAGTTTTACTAGTTAATATTTTAGTAAAAATTTAGAAGAATTAAATGAATAATTTATTTTGCCTGTATCCCTATGTAAGTTTTTCAATTAATTTTTTTATCGTGTTTATATATTAATACTTTCAAATTATACAGTAAATATCCATGAATTAAATAATAATTTTAAATTTGATCACACAACATAATGATAAGTATTAAGTGATATGAGATACTGCTAAATGTATGACCCAAATTCATTTGGTTTAGTTAAAATATCTAAATGGACCAAATAATAGTTCGGTTTAAAAATTAAACTTATGAAATTGAAAATTGAACTTGATTTTGTTGAAGGACAATAGAAAATCAATATTTTTATTATTTTTATTAGATATATAATTAAGTTAATTTTTTAATAATTAAGTTTATTTAATGTAAAATGTTTTTCTGAGTATTTTTTTTACAAGTTTTGGTTTATGTTTTGTTCAGTTTGTTTTTAAAACCCAAACTAATATTAGGTACAATTATTATTAAAAATATATTATTTATAAATATAAAATATTCAAAATATATTATTAAATAAAATATTATGTACTTAAACTTTTGTAATATTTGTGTGTAAAGTAATAAGTAAAAGGTTATAATATGTTATATAAGGGGATGTCTGCGCTCTATTTGTTTATCTCTGACTCACTGACAACATGGTAAATTTCTGTTCAGCAGATCCGACTTAGTGTCATTAGCTTTTGTATTAATATGATTTGACCTATTATCAAACTTATAGTTGTTAAAAACATTAACTCTATTCTTCTGTGTAATTTTTTAGGATATTTCAATTTTAAAGGGAGTTCATTATTTTAAATTGTTACAACTTATGTACTTATTTCTCTCATAAAAATTGAAATATTCTAAAAAAGCCCACATCAGAACACGGATAGTGTTTTTAACTTAAAGTTTGATAATAGATCAATTCCTCTCAGTACAAAAGCTAACAACACAAAATTGGTTATACTGTAAATCTGCTATGCTGTACACGGGTCTGAGATATAAAACAAAACTTCCTCAGACTTCCTCTCATATCAGAATAAGAATAGAGCATCACGCTTTACCTCTACGGCGTTGCCTACCCCGAGTACCGATTCGTTAAATGTCAAGAATGATCATTTATCATTGTGCGCCATATTTCCGATAAAGCTGGATGTGGCACATGTGGGGCGAGTAAATGTTGGGCTTATGAGTAGTATAAGAAACTGTGGTGGGGATAGTTTTGCTAATAGAAAGTGTTTTCTTATTTCGTCTGATGTATTTTTATTCTGTATAGAGTATAGTATATTTTAATTATATTGTATTTATGTATTTCTTATATTCTTATTATTTTTTGTGATAGGTCCTTATGTAACTTTTCAGTATTTACTGATTGAACTGTATTTTATTTGTTTTATTTATAAAAAAAAATAGTAATTTATTATTTGTATAATGCATTTCTGACTTACGTCTTGCTATGGATATACCTATAATGGTGATTTTTTTATCAAAAAACTTTTAATATTTTTGGTGACATACATTTTTAATTCTTTATTACAAAGCAGAATATTTTTTGGAAAATTACGATGTTTAAAAATTAAATGTAGAAATTAAAAATGGATGTTATCATTAAAAGGTCAGCACACTATTTGTTTACTCACCCTGAGCCATGTGCAACATAGAAAATTTACGTTTGTGTAACCAATCCTATGTTATTACTTTTAAAATTAGAGTGAAGGTACTATTAGTGTACTACCTAACCTAACCTGTTAAGTTTAACCTAAATTTGCCATTTAATTAATAGTTTAAATGTAAAATATGATTAGATATTTTAAAAAAATAAATGTTATTAATTTGTGATTTATACAAAATAAGATATATTATTATGTAATTATAACAAACAACAGATTCTGAGTTATCATTTATTGTATGTGTATAGTCCCATAAATGTATTCAGTATATATTATTGAATAATAAAACTTGCAATATTAATGTGCAATAAGTTTCCTGATATATTTTTACACAAAAGTTTTATAAATTGTATATGATGTTTTAGTCGTCAAGCATCACCATGTGAAGAAGAAATCAACAAAAATGCAATGAACGCAGTATCGAGCAATCAAGTAGCTAATGCTGGTTCCAATAATGTAGTGGTGATTGACAGTTTGCATGGTGCACTACACCAAGGACAACTAATGAATCATCATCACCATGGAATGACTATGCCTTTACACCAACAATTCCAAGTACAAGGTGATCCAAATCAAATGGATCTCAATTCATACCATGCCAACAATGCTCAACAACAACAAGGCGCTATTGACTCCCAGGGAAATGTTATGACTCCATTTGATATTCAGGTATGTTTTATATTAGGTATATTTGAACAAAAATATTTTTAAGTAGATAAATATTAGTACCTACCTAGTTTTAGTTTTTAAAATTATATCATAAATAGTAAAGTAGGAAGTATTAATTTAAGTTAATGAAAGTTAATGATAAAAAAAGAAACTAGAAGTTATTGTTGATATAATTTTGTTATATTAAGTTAGAGTTACTTATTGTAAAATATCCAGTAAATAATCATTTAATTTTTAAAAATTCAATATTTGATATATTTTCATCATAATTTGTCTTTTTGCTACGAAAATCAACTGTATAGTTATTTACAGGAGTGATAATATTATTTATATTTATGAATACTATAGGCCCTAGAATGTTAATTGTACATTTTTGAAATTTTATTCTTCTTTATTTGCATTACTATTAGCATAATATTGAAAATCAATTAATTACTTATATATTGAGGCTTACACGTCTTATAAGGTTATTTTATCAAGGTTTTACTTGGTTGTCACTCAATAAGTCCTATTCAAATACAATAAATTCTAAATGAATGTCATAGAGTCTTTTAGAACTGCATATTATGTCGCTAGATGGATCCTCCTATTATTCATAGGTGTACCACATGCCACCTTGTTCGATCCATAAAATATTTTGTTGAAGTCATACAGCGCGTTGACTTTTTCTTTGAACTGGTCGACGGAAAATGTCGCGGTTACCATCACGGGCGTACGATATACATTTATAGACGTCGGTGCTTCTTGGTAATTCAGATACTGGTCCAGTGACAACTTTACAAGATGCGCCTGACCAGAGTGAAGTTCTTTACTAGCTGTACGTCAGTGACCGTGGTGTAAGCTCGACCGTAGTAATCGCTGTTCATTTTGGTATACTGCAATGATTGCCATATATTCTGTCAATCTGTCAATTAGTGAAACAATCGTCCTCGCCACCCGTTTTCTCTTGGTTTCGTATAATTCATATATAAATAAATGTTACGTATACCGCGTGTACTGGACATACCAGTAGTATTATATTTTAGTGGACACCGGTATAATTAGGTATGTTGTGAAATCGAAGGCTGAAAGATGATTCTTTTTCTTTTGACGCATAAATGTGTTATAGACGTAATATTATATATTTTTATTAAGGGGTTATGTGTATGCAATTTTGTGTATCGTGTGTAGTTTAATCGTGTGCTTTACGCCGCAGTGTGGTTTGCGTCTGAAGGAAGATGATTTCCTACTATTAATAGATATTGGATTTATTATGTTTTCAGAAACTATACACATTCATACATTATATGTGACAATTACCACTGTCCACGGTTACTTTTGTGTGTCACCTCTTTATGTAATACTATTGGTTATAATATATACATAGTATACCATGTATAATCAGTGGCGCAACTAGAAAAACATTTCTTGGTAACAATGTTACATTATTACAATATAATATATGCATAAACTAAAATATACTAGGCCTCGGAGAAATTTCCCCTCCCCCCTGGTGGCGCCACTGTAATAATCAATGGTAATACATTTGGTTATTTTTATGCTTATAAAGAAGAAGCTAATAATAAAGTACTTGAATCAAAATTATGTACAAAAACGTGTGTCAATTACCTAATTGTCTCTTATCGATGTTATTAGATTTCTGGATTAGGATTAAAATCGTTACCAGCTTAATTTGATATCGACTTACATTTTTAAACTATATCCTTTTTTCTTCTTCACATTATTGATTTGTTATTACTTATTCATTTTTAAGGCTTATTGCGAAGATCTACATGTTATTTAATGTCAACATTCTGTGACACGTTTGAATCGTTTTCAGAATGCCAATTATACTATGAGATATTAACGTAGGAGCATAATTTAATAGTTGTAGTGTGAAAAAAGCTCGTATGTCCCAATTTCCCTAAACATCGAGAAAAATGTTTTGATTTTATTATTTTTTTAAATAGTTTGGTGTATTTTATATTTTAAAACAAAATAATTGATGTTCGTTTTATTTATATTTTATTTGTTTTGAATTTATCCGCGAAGTTTCTAACATTAGACAAATACGTTTATATGATTATTGTTCGATAGCTGATATTTTATATTTTTTAGTATCACATTATGGATCATTTTTGGTTTCATTATGTTTTGAAAATGTTAGTATGTTGAATTTTATTATTATCTACATTCTATTGGTTTCAAGATCTTATTTTAAAATCCCGTTAAAACTACCTAGTGCCTAATGCTCTTGTTTGTTTTGCAATACAATTACACTGGTACCAGGTAAAATACTACGTCAGAAAAAAATTACTGATAAATAATAATATAATGTAAACTGTAAAGGTCAAAAATTACATAATGTACATTTTACTTTTTTTTATTAAATTGAAAAAAGGATGGTTGATCTTTGTATTACCTGCATATAGGTCAGATATCTCAAATGGTTAGCTGGTCGATTCAGGCACGTTTAGTGGGATTAAAAAATCAAAACTCTATAGATGTCCAAGTTATTATTGTTAGGAAATCAGTAGAGGCCAGTAATAATAAAATAATAAAATATCTTTTTCCTCAGTAAAATGGTGAAATAAAATTATACAATGATTTGTCTCTCGTTTAATCTGTATACCCCTCCCAAAACTATTTTGTTGAAATGTATGTCAGTTTGACCCTGTATAATAATCATACCTTATAATAAATAAGTAAGTAATGATTCACGAGTAATTAAATAATTAAATATTGTAATTTGTCAGGTATACCGGCATAATTATTTCTGCTGATGATAACTCTAAAAATTAAAATTTGAAGTTTTTATTAAAAATGTTCCATTATTATTGGACTTAGGATGTAAGTATATTAGATTATTATTATTTATATAATTATATAATATCTATTGATATATATATTTATATTGTTATTTTGTTACATATACTTAATTACATTTATTGAATAATATTTATGATTTCATTGTCTATGGAGAATCTGACCAGAAATCAGTAATATTCCAAAATTATGGTAGTACGAAAAGTATACTTAGTCACAGTTTTTTTTTATTTTATCGAATCAGATGTAACGGATTTCGAATGAACTCCTATTTAATCTTATGGAATCCTTTTTTAAAATTATCTGATCATAAATTTTCATCGTGTAATCAATACTCACAATAGTATGCAAATTATTTTATAGTAGGTATCTACTACCTTCAGCTTCAAAAATGGCTATGTTGCAAATAATTTCCATTTTTCATGCGAAATATTTATATACATTCATATAAACAATTTTATATGCATAAACTTTTTTTTTCTATTATGCTTGATTCTGATATTTATTATAATAATAATTTTTTTTAATTCCACAGTTTTGTTCGATTTGTTGAATATTCTTGCATTTACGAATTATCTTTTTTCAATATACTTGTGCCAAGCATTAAATTTTTCGCCAATAAGTATTTTCAATGCGCACATAAATATGTCAGCCATCACACTCGGTGTTGCCAGGATGGTAGTAAATATTTTGTCGTTAAGTGAATTTTGCCAAGGGGTTAATACAGGAAAAGTGTTGGGCAATTTTTTCTCTGTCAAAAATAGTAAGATATTATACCTTCTCATGAACGGCGTTTGTTGGCGTCCAACCGCTATTCTGGTTGTATTCACCTAAATGAATTTCCACATTCGTTGACAATATTAAATAAATAATTTTTATTAATCATACAAAATATTATATTGGATATAAGTAATGACTAATGAATAATACATAAAAATAATAAACTGGCAATAGCCAACAATAATTAATTATGTTTGAGCAATTATAATTCTTGCAAGGTTAAACAATTACAATAAGTATATTTATCTCAAATTTTAAAATTTTAATATGTTACAGATTTCTAAACAAGAATATTTTATTAATTGATTAAGAAAAAGCTAAAGGGTATAATTGTGTGTTAAATGTTCGGCTATTCATACCACTTTAAAATAGTTTTGGGTGGAATACTCTAGACAGTGATAATTTTAAGGTTTATAGTTTAGACGAATTTATAAATAATCCTTTTATGTTTGTGTTTCTGTTATTAGGGTAATGTGTTATTATTAATCAAATATTTTATTTTGCATTTAGTTGAAAATCGATCTTTTATTAAAATTCAATGAACGTACTTAATTTGTGATTGTTGACTTCGCATTTTATACTTGATTTTAGTATGTATAATATGGCATGTACATAATGAATGTTGACGTGATTTTAGTGTACTTAGGCCCCAATATTGTTTAATAATATTTTGATGTACGGAATCGAACAGAGTTCATGTGCATATATTATTAGTATTTAAATAACGCTAAAACTCACCTATTAATATCAAAATATTTTAGGTGCAATACTTTGCACACTTGTACAAAATATAATTTAGGTTTATTATTTTGATTTAGGTGTAAACTTAGTACCTATATAGGTTATAATATACAATTCCTATAATAAGTTAAGAGGATTAAATATTTTTTTACATTTGATTTAATGATTTCTAAAGTATATAAGTATTATAAAAAACGTTACATACATTTTTTTCCTGTACTTAATTTTAATCTAAAATTTGCGTCTGATTTTTTTCAGTGATATTTTGCATTAATCTTGATAAAATAAATAATTTATTTTTTGAGATAAAGATTAATTTTTTATCTAATAGCTAGTGTTTTATAACGACATTAGCCTTTGCGCAAGTGTTTGTCATTCACACGGGTCGGGGTTGCCCTAAATTGCCGGTAGTAAAACGAATGAAGATAGTCCGAGCAACAAAAACTGATGGATATTGATCTCAATTCTCTTGGGATGGATAAAATTACAGGTCAAAGAGTTGATGCTTTTTTTTCTTGCTAAACATAAGAAATCACTAATGAACTCTTTAAGTACATATACTTATATATTGTACTGATTTTGTAGTTGGAAATACATTTTATATTATTTTGAAACACAGACGGTATATTCTTAACTTTTTTTTTTAACAAAATCCAAATTTTGATTTTTAATGTTTAAATATTACGATATTATAAATGGTATTTTAACTATAGGTCAGTAATTTTTATAATTGTGCTAATTTTCTTTTTTTTTAAATTTGCTTGTTACCATTTCGCTAGAAAATAAATTCTTATATTTTTTTAATTCTCCTAAGAACACGTACGTTTTTAATTATTATGTTGGGTGCATTATTTTCATAATTTAGTTAAATAACAACCAAAAATAACGAGGAAGTGGAACAGTGAGTTGTGTTTAAAATTTAAATAATTTATGCCAAGTACCAGATATCTGTTGAATTATTATTATGCATTTATGCGAGCTATATTATGCTCATATTTCAAAGGCATTATATTATTTTTTGATGCAAATAATGTATATTTAAATAGTACCAACTAACAGAGTTTTTTTCATACATCATACAAGATAATTATATAGCGGTATGCACGTGTTAAATGAGTTGGGATTTTTGATTTGAAATGCTTAGTTAGTGATCTTTGGTGTTAACTTGCATTTTCGTGTTTTAGCATTCATAATCATATGTATTTTGTTTGTCTTTTATTTATTTCTTATCTAGTCTTACACGGGGCTTACATTACATTGATATCATGAGACACACAATATTTTATTAATATTATTCCTTAAGACATTAGTCATTACTATTGTCTAAGTCGTCTATACTAATCTCATTACTTTTTTAAATTCATAAATTTCATTATTTTGTCTAAATTAATTTATATTGTAAAACTTCAGTAAATCGGGTGTTTTTTTTAAGTATTTCTATATATACAGCACACATTTTAATTCAAAAACAATGCAGCCATTATTATTTTTCATGAAACTGTTAATATAAAACTGAGTATATAAACTCGACGACAAATCAAACCACGCGCTACTGAACGAACGAGCCAATGACCACTAAAAGTTTTCCGGCTTAATCGGTGTGACATTAAATCGTATAGTGGTTTACGAGAAATCTTAAATAAATCACGAGTCTAACGAGGGGAGAGTAGTAATACGCGACTCGATTGTTGTCCCTACTCGCAGGGAATTATTGCATTTTGCGGTTTTCGAAAACTAGGTATATTACGTAATTGAATTTTCCGAGCGTTCGGAGCTGGTCCTCCTCTCTTCCACCTCCCCACTTAACCACCAATCCTCGTAGCGCTCGTGTGTTTCGCAATTTCTACTGCTCCGATGCCGCGTATTAATCTGTTGACGACGGTGTCGTCGGCGTGTAATGATATAGCCACTATATAGAGTAGTGGTGGTGGTGTTGTATATAGATAGCCGCTTGTGGTGGTGCGGTACTTAGCGTGGGTGGTTGGTTGGCGGGATGGACGGACAAGCGGACGTACTTTTCGGTGCCAATTAGAAGACGGATTCGCCGTTACTGCTTGCGCGTACATACGTAAACACATTTGTTCCGCACCGACGACAAGACGGCCGATCGTCATGCCGCCGGCCACGGTATCATAAACTTGCTATTGTTACACAACGGCGGCGGCGGCGAGTACGTTGACACGTGTACGCGCTCGCCCGTTCCCTAGACCACGCGCCGTTTTCTCCTCCAGAAGTGTTTTGGTGGACGAGCATGAGGGGAAGATGATGGACGAGGAGGACAGCGACGACTAGGCGTCGGGGTTTTGTCATAAATATAACCATTATGACAACGTCACTGTGTACACGGCTATATTATAATCTTCTGTGTACTTTTTGGTGGAGTTGGCCGTGTCATTATTATCAGGTGTTTTGTACGCGCGCGTGCGCGCTCGAGTATGGTAAAATATTGGGTCGTCGGAGTTGTCGTCGGCGTGTAGTGTTCTTTGCTCTGTCTCTCACTCTGTCCGTCTCTATTTCTCTCTGTCTCTCTCTCTCTTGGTGGTGTTGCGGATGTTAATATGTGGAATTCGGCGGCATGCACGCAATGGGGTTATTAATAGAGAGAGTATAACCGCTGCCGGGCGCACCGGTGTTGTTGGCACGCGTAGACAGGGTGCGAACGGCGCCGCACACCTTGACTGGCCTGTTGTCGGCTGGCCAGATTTTTCCCTCGTACACACCTTTCTGCATCGTTTAAAAAAGCGCTACTAATAATAAAACGTCGACAGAGAAAAAGTGCGTGGAAGTAGAGTTAGTGTTTGTGTGTGTGTGTGTGTGTGTGTGTGTGGTAGTGAAGAAGAGCGAACAAAAACTGTGTGTGAGAGGTGGAAAAAAATCAACAAATCTTCGGAATCGGACGCCGTCGGCCGACATCGATCAATCAGTGTCGACCCAAATACCAATAAAATCGAGGGTGGATGTAGGTTGGAGTTGCGTGTTTGTGTGGGTGGGTGAGAGAATCTGCGAGTATTTATTTATTTTTTATTCATTTTAACACCCTAAAATCTACAGTTTTAGTCAAACGGACGATATTTCAGTTTATAGCATTAGGTTAGGTCTTTCATTAAAAAAATACTTATTTAAATATATTATATTTATTTACAAAATCAAAAAAATCAAATTGTAGGATGATAGGATTTTATTCGTACGATTATGTTGATATATAAACCATGTGGTATACAACACATTATTAACACACAATGAATGTTGTGAAAAAGTGAATTATTTCTAGTGTTATTTGCAGGTACTGTAAGATTAAATTATTCGAAACTTTGGGCAATTACTATAACTATTTTAAAGTTGTATCCTTAAGTGCCATGCTGTTATATTTACGTATATTAGATCGAGTAGACAAGTTTAATCGTTTAGACATTTAATCTAAGAGTAAGTCTGCTATACGTCTATACCTAATTTGAAACCTATTGACTTTCAACTTTAGTTACTTTTTCATTTTTTATTTATCTACCTAGATTTTCATGAATTCTTAATTATTGGCCTGTGTACTAAAATAAATCGTAATTTTGCACAGTTAAGTCCTAGGGGGTATTGTGAGTTTATACTATAATTTATAGAATAGGATTATAGTTTTATTACATACTACAAGTTACGTTACAACAGGTCAGTTATTATTGTTGATGAAACCCAGATTTATTTGAGTCTCCTCATAAATAAAATCGATATTATCTTGGAGGATCAAAAAGTAATTAGCACTATTCCTAAATAATGAATTGGTCATTGCTAGGTACCAGTAGGTTAGGGCAAGCATGTCAATCCAATAGTAAGTGACCTATACTACTCGTATACGCTGCCGATGAAATAGTCATATATCTGATTTCCAATAGCTTGAACTTATTTTTCAATATTAAATTTGTGTTACTATTTTTACAATGGTAACATTTTTACATTGGTAAAGTGTAATTCAATATTTGAGAATTTCAAATATGAAACGTGTATTAGGTTAAATTGGTTAGGTTATTAGAGCACCATTCAGGTGGTTAGGTTGACCATTCAGGTGTCTGTTGACTATTGTATTACAGAACTAACGGAATTGTTTAATTATTTCTTTACTGGTTATTATTACTAGTATAACGATTTGTTCCGCCAACAAAAAATAAAAATCTGCTATTATAAAACTAGTATTTGTTTAGTATGATTTTATTAAAGACGTTGGTAAATTTTGTTTCATTCTATATTTGATAATTAGTCTGTGCGATAAAAATAATGCCAGGAAATATTGAGCTCGATTAGTAAATACTTATCAAGTAAATTTAATAAACTAATTTTTTTATCACTGCATCCGAAGAATCAGCATTAAATTGAAATTAGTTATATTTTGCTAATCCATTATATTGAAAAATTAAATTTTATTTTATTTATTTCAGAGATCTTTCAGAGATCTTAAACAGCTGTTATAAAACTAACTTTGATATCAGGATTTTCCCTGCTTACCATTTTATATAAATACCTATACCTAAAGGTATTATCAAAATTGTTACCTAGTTCAAATTATGAGGATGAAGTAGGTGAAAGTTATCATGTTGTTTTTAAATTAATGTATGTTTGTCACTTTTTAAAAGAAGCTTAGGTATTTTTTAACATAATTATGTTTTTGGGCAGGGCACAGATAATTTTATTTTTTAACCGATTTTGCGTAATGCTTTGTTTATCTCCATATAAACTGAATAAAATGTTTTAATTACACCTGATTTCTACTAGGTTTATACAATTAATGTTACTTATTAATACATATTCATGATTCATAAATGTTCTTAGAAGTATTCTACAGAAGTGTAAATGTGCAGATAAAATAGAAAGTGTAGTTCATCCGTCATTTACAAGATACAAACAATACAGTATAATTATAACGAATATGCAGTAAAATATTTGGGCTGACAGTGACTAAAGAATATTTTAAAATTCATTACTGATATTACCTATAGTAAAATAAAAGTCAGTTTCAGTATTTAAACAGTACCTATACAGTTTATTTTTTGTTATTGTTCTATTATATAAAACTTTTATTTGTGATTTATATTTTTTGTTTATTCCAAACAAACTATAGGTAAGTAATATAAAACTTGTATAAACCTAGATATACTTTATAATATAATTTAAACTTTTTACCTATAGCATTGTTTTGAAAACTCAATAATTCGAATCATTCATATATTAGGTATAGTTATTTTTGTCATAAATGTTTTTTATTTTATAATATTACCTATTTAAAGTCCATATTGTTATTATATTCAAATAGTTTATAACACATTGTATTCGTAGTAATTAGTTGGAGAATGCAAATGTGAAATTTCTATTTAATAAACCACGTTTATATACAATTTTTGCGGTTTGGCTATTTCCCAATGAGTTGTCACCGTTTATGATTTGGACCATTTCACTTTTCATAAGATAATAAAACCTCTCATTTCTTTCTACTTAGATTACATTTTATGAACTCAATTTGTCTTTTTTCAAATAATTTCCTGCGGATCACGTTCCGTTTAATAATTCGTTCTCACCATACATTAATCATTAGTCATGCCCCACGAGGGTGGTTCTGCATGACGGTTTCCGCTCAGGTGTCTATTTATGTCCTTGGCGAATCGCTTTCAAGTGTGTCAATATAAATGACTGCCTTGTGATTTATAATCTTTATATTTTTGTATATTTCGGCATAGGGTTCAATACATTTATCGTGGATGACTTTCGGAAATTTAAAATCATATATTATTTTGTCCGTTAAATTTATATAGGTACCTATAGGTAATATTATAGCTATTACACGATAACATACGTAAACTATGCTTAATATTTTATACACAGGTAACATAATCAGATTTATATACGTAATATAAACATTAAGTTGTCATTCTTTAATAATTTCGGTGTTTATAGCCCATCTTTCTGTATATACACGAAAAAGGTCTAAACTGAACGATATACAACTAATTAATAATGGTGGAGGTCTGAATGTTGTCTCGTTCAGACTCCTGCAGTAGTTTGGCAAAAACTCGGCTTCCCCTCATTTACCTCTTTCTTTGAATCGTGTGTATCGCTTGTAATTACGATGCTTGTTCATATAAAAATCGTTAAAGCTAATGGAAAATGCTGGATTTGACGTGTTGTTGTTGCTGCAATTAGACACGATGACTGATTTATGTCGTAATGTTTACGTTTAATTTAGTAAAATTTAATTTAGTTTTGTTCCTTTTCCTGAATTTATATTTTTGCAACTTAAAACTAAGTTTAATAATCTGAATGCTGCTGTAAATTGATAGTTCAAAATATCTAAAACGATTACTTGACACATGATATCTTAAGGCAATTTATAAATTGTTTTCTTTCGTTAACCTATTATTTTTTGAGTGTCACTTTTAGGTGTTGGTGGAGCATTTTATAACATTTCCTGAATTATTGCATGATAGGCATATAACGCGTAAAATGTGTCTGAATCGTGTGTTTGCGTGTTAAAATTAGTATTATAACAGTTTTAAAAGTATAGTATTTCATATTAGTTTTCTATTTAGTGTAGAACTTTGTGTTAAATGTAATTAAAATTGTCTGTTTTTCACGGTTCAGAATTTTCGAACGCAAACGAGTTGAGTAGTTTTTTTTTAGTGAAACGTCAAACTGTGTAGTATTTGAGAACGTTATTTTCGAGCATTTAGTATTCACGTGCCAAAAAATTTACTCATAGTTACGTTAGAGAAAAAATGTATATTATTTACAAGTGTATACATATATTATTATAATAGGTACATACAACGAAATCACCCTTAACGTCTTTTGGCTTGTAATGTCGTTACAAGACCATCGTGACACGTTTGTTCTGTTAAAAACGCCAGTTGTTGCAGAAGCCATTGGTCTTTTTTTTACGAGGATCCGAGTGACCCACTAGAGGATTGAAAATTTCCTTTGACCCGTTATGTTTATTTGCCGCTGGCGACCACCGACCGGTTTTATACCGTGGTGGCGCGGCGTCCGGGTCGTTAGTAAGAAAACTGCAAAACGCTTGATTTTTTTCTCTTGTTTTATTTGCGAACGATCGTCTTGGGGATATCACACACAAACTGATAAT